TATCACAAAAATGGAAAGCGAGAGAGAAGAAACCAAAGCAAAAATGAACTTATCACCAGGGAATTCTGGATGATAGAGCGGAACAACACGTTCGTTGATCGTCCCCTGTGAGCCGCCATGTCAGCCTCAAAATGCAGTGTCTCACTCACTGCATTGGCGATATGAGGATCCAGCAAAATGGAATCATCGACCCTGATCACTCGGCTCATGTGATCGGTGGCTCGGGGATTCCACTCCGCAGCTTCCACTGTCGACGGAGGGGAAGGGGGAGTCTGCTGCTGCCGTTGTTGTTGTTGTTGATGTTGTCGTTGTTGTTGTTGTTGCTGCTGTTGAGGAGGAGCAGGGGGTAACCCGCGGCCTCTCCCGCTTTGCTGCTGAGCGGAAGATGCCTGGGATCCTCTGTCGAGGCCATCGTGCCTATGCTTGACCCTTCTCTCCTCCTCTACCTGAGGATCCCGGTCACGCACTTGACCCCGACTGAGAACTCTTGAGGATGGGGTGGAACTGGTCCCTACAGATGGGGCGCCGCCGGTCGATCCTCGACCCCTCCCGGAAGCAAGAGCTTGCCTCTGCCTCAGGAACCCCAGGTCAATGCGAGGCGTGCTGGACATCGCGACCTCGAGGGCGTCCTCGGCGTCTANAGGAGCAGGGCGACGACGACGCATCTCTAAGAAAGTGAGAAAGTGGAGGGTGTTTTTTCTTAAAAATTCCTGAGGAAGCTTCCCGAGGATTAGTCGCTAAGTATCAACCGGAGACACCTCCAGTCATCGGAAAACAAAAAGGGATAGGAGGAAGAAANCTAAGAAAGTGAGAAAGTGGAGGGTGTTTTTTCTTAAAAATTCCTGAGGAAGCTTCCCGAGGATTAGTCGCTAAGTATCAACCGGAGACACCTCCAATCATCAGAAAACAAAAAGAGATAGAAGGAAGAAAAGAAGAAAGAAACTAGGACTCACCCGAATGCCAAACAGAGTTTTTTCTGGAAAACTTTAGGCGACTCCTTCCAGAAATTTCAGAAGCAACGATGGGTCTGCTGGCCTTAAGACTTTAAGGAAGAATGGGCAGTCGACGATGGAAGAGGAAAGAGATCTCCGGCGAAGATTCAGGAAAAGGCTCTCTTGAGGAAGTTCNGACTTTAAGGAAGAATGGGCAGTCGACGATGGAAGAGGAAAGAGATCTCCGGCGAAGATTCAGGAAAAAGCTCTCTTGAGGAAGTTTGGAATGGCAAAACAAGAAAATGGAAGAGGAGACCCATTTATATAGAGGCAATTTCATTATTGGGCGCGAAAAACGAAACGGCGCATTTAATGCACATGACATCCCAAGCCGGGGAAAGCGGCTCGAGGCAATGATGAAGCATTTGTGGTTGTTGGGAAACCCTTCGTCTCCTTACGACGCGTGCCCTCGGTGTCAGAAGATCGAAGGCTGGGGGGCAGTTGATGGGACTTTTCTGAAATACTCCATGATGAAGACACGTGTCCTCGGTATTTACCAAAACACTGTTGCTAAGATCAAGCACCATCGGCGCACAAAGGTCCTCGCCCCCGAGGTACTCGTCATATAGGATCATGGCATTCAGTACGAGTTACAACCAACACGTAGCCTCGGTCTGATATGGTACCTCGGTCGGTATACCTCCCTCGGTTCCGAGATGAGCCTTTCCTCGGTGCCGAGAGGTACCCCGTCCTGGACGCTTCCTCTACTCCAGGATAAGCTATTGACGTACAGGTCATTAGCCTAGGCTAGTCTAGGCTATTCATCATGACCTCGTCTTACACAATTAGTGTCAGAACGTACTGGAATGCAGGGGCCACAGCCAATGGGGGATGGACGCGTGGCATATGATATCACATCGAAGACAGAGAAACCGCATGCCGTTGCTGACACGCGACTTGGGAAAGCAAACGATTAATTACACCATTCCCTTGATGAGACCGCATTCAATGCGGTAAGGCTCGGAAATGAAAGGCAATAAATGCTCCTAATACAGAGCATTTATTGCATCCTCCCCGAGAGGAGTACATTGTACCGTCGGCATCCCGATGACCCAGCATTGATTGCTCGGGACCCCGAGCAGTTAAGAAGAGAAGACATTCCTCATCAGAATCAGTGCGCACACTGCCTGTACCTAATGATCACCTACTGACTACACTGACAGCAATCATGAGCTTTTGAGGTATAAATACTCCTTGCAAAAGGCAAGACGGGTATGCAACAAAAAACTCTTTACTACAATACACACTCAGTGTTTTCTCCTTCCTCTCTCTTTCTCAAAGACTGACTAGATCGTCGGAGGGGATACGCCGGAAAACACTCCGGCGCCCTTCTAACTTGTTCTTCTTTGTTCCAGGAACCTCTTTCAGCCTTACTGGATCGTTCTTCCGCTCTCCCAGGGTCTCCTGTTGCCGTTTCAGGTTACCACCGGACCTCGCAGGCTGTTCCAAGCAGCGTGGTTGGTCACTCAACTGGCTCACTCGAGNCCAGGTTACCACCGGACCTCGCAGGCTGTTCCAAGCAGCGTGGTTGGTCATTCAACTGGCTCACTCGAGTTCGCCAAGGGAGAGATCTGTTCTCGTTTTTATATTGTGCAGGATCTTGCACGCACAAATACAATAAATTCGGCAAAGAAAACCACATGATAGAAAGAGCAAGATATGATTGGATTGCCATATAAGAGGAAAAACTAAAGCATTCAATAACGTAGATTAAAGTAACATTAGCAATTCCAGTAAGGGAAGATTGAGTAAACCGAGGAGTGAAAGAACTCAAAAACCAAAAAACTCAATTATAATCGAAGTCGGTCGCATATTTATCTCTAAATATAATTGGAAATCATGAATAAACAAAACCCACTTCAAAAAGTATTAAAATTAAACTAACCCATTGCAAAGTATCCATGCTTCATAGATCACAATCATTTGACTCCATACTCGGATTTTGGCCAATTGGAACTGCTAAAAATGGCTGCTTCTAGTTCAGATATGCACGTCACAATCCAACTTATTGGCCAAGCAACAGCAGCAAGTGCAAAACTTGTGCCCCACCGACCCCAATCGAGCCTTGCAGTGTCTGCAAACCTGTCCAGAACTTCCACCATCAGCACTTGAAGAATAATGATTATCCCAATGATCCCCCAAAACAGTTTTTTCTTTCTTATATCCTGAAATACATTCTTCTCAACATTGAATATGGTGAATATCTGGCAGAGAACATAAGTATTGAGGATAAATGTACCGTTTGCATTCGGATCGACATTGAAGATTGATTTTCCCTTCAAATGTATGGTTAGGAGGATGGCTATCTGATATAAAGCTTGAACCATTATGTTCCCCAGCATGATGTTGGTCATTAGAGGTCCATTCCTTCCCCGAGGTGGTCGATTCATAAGCTCTTCAGCAGGCTGCTTCATAATCACAGCCAGAGCAGTCAATGTATCCATCATCAGCTTNTGCAGCCAAATTGGTAGTAACTTGTTCAACGGACCTCAAACCCAGGCAGAACTCTTTCACCTGTTTCACAATAATACAGATACAATACAGATACGGGGGAATTAGAACAGAGGACAAGTTGGTGCTGTTGGTTGTACAAAGAGACGAAGAATGGAGGTCATGGGATATGTTGGATGAGAGGGGCAAGATTCTGTTGGAGCAGGAGGGGAGGTTTTACCCTAACCATGCGGTTTTTCAAACTTAAACCTAAAAGACGGTACTTTTTAAATTATTTCTCAAATTCAGATACTTTTAAAAACGCCTTTCCAACTAATTTTTTATATCAAAAAATATTTTTTAAAAAATATTGGTTGAAATGACATTTTTAAAAGTACATAATTTTAAAAAATAATTTGAAAAGCACCATTTTTTGGGTATAAACTTAAAAAATCTCCTGGGTTAGGATAAAAGCTCAGTATTAAATCTTCAATGACAATATGTCTATTATCTAAAATATCACTGACACTCCTTCTGATTTATATTTAAATATCACTGACACTTCTATTGTTAAATCACTTTTTTTAACAAAAAAAAAATTATTTAAAATACCAAAATTAAGCATATATAAACCTCAAATAATCTTTCTATGTAAAATTCAAATAAAATTTATTTTCTACATATCAAAATTTTAGGCGATTAAAATTCAATTCAAGTTAATTAAAAAAAAATTTACATATTAAAATTTGAGTATATTAATTTTTTTTTTACGTATTAAAATTCGAGTCAATTTGAGTTCTACTTGAGCTATTAGCTACGATTAAAATTTGCTTCGAGTCGATTAAAAATTATATTTTTTATTTCTTAAAATTTGATTCAAGTTGATTAAAATATATTTTTTACATATTAAAATTTATAATTTTTTATGTATCAAAATTTGGG